AAAACACAGAGCCTTCACCCCTGTGCCTCCCGCCTCCGCCCTCCCAGCCCCCGTGGACGCCCCCCAGGCCTTCCCGGGGAGGACAGAGCCCGCGCAGACCGACCCTGGCCTGGGCGGCGGGGCACCGACCCCTGGCTATCCCCTCGGAGCCCGGGACAGAACTAGGTCGCTCGGGCCCTCCTTGCTGGACGCCGACGTGCAGGGCCAGAGCCAGGACTGCACGCCGCCCCTGTGCCGGGTGAAGAGTGGGAGCGGCCGTCCGTCCGTCCACCAGCTGGAGAAGGAGTTCCTGTCTTAGTGCCTTATGTGATGCAAGCATTCCTCTCTCTTGTGAGGTGAACAATTAAAACACTGCGTCTGTCTTTGAGTTGTTCCATGCTACTGGGTCTCGCAGAGCGGCGGCCCCGTGCCTGCAGCGGTCATGGGTCCGAGAGGGACATGGACGTGAGCGCTGCAGGCCGGCCGTCTAAGGAGACGGTGTTGCCGCTGGATTCCTGCCTAGGGACGTGAAACACGCTCCAATGTGAGAGTGTGTGGCCACGCAGAACGCACAGCTCTGCTAGGGAGAGTTAGGGAAGCACAACGTTTAATTCCGCTGCTCTCATGTCTGCTGTCTGTGAGCTGACAGCACAGGAAGTGGTGGGTCACCCTGTCCCCTCCTTCCCTTTCTCCCTCTCCTTTCCTTTCTTCTCACCTTTCTTTCTCTCTCTAACTCTCTTTTGTGCAACAAAAAGCCAAGAAGAGGAATGTGCTATTAGTAAGTAAAGGTGCCTATCTTTTAAGAAATATATTTTTATTGATTTCAGAGAGGGAGAGAGAGAGAGAGAGAAACATCAATGATGAGAGAGAATCATGGATCGGCTGCCTCCTGCACGCCCCACACTGGGGATGGAACCCACAACCCGGGTATGTGCCCTGACCGGGAATCTAACTGTGACCTCCTGGTTCCTAGGTGGATGCTCAACCCCTGAGTGACGCCGGCCGGGCAAAGGTGTCTATTTTTTTAAAAAAATGGTAACCAGAATAGATACAAAATCCTATGTAAGGGACCTAGACCCAGCAGTAGGGTTATAATGGCTAAATACATCCAATTCTCACCTGAACTTTGCACTATTTCTCTCTTGGAGGAGAATCTACTGAATGTAACTTTCACATTGTACCCATTCGACGTCCAAAGCAGATGTGCACACGATCAGACCTTGGCATTGGGCTCCGCGCGATCTGTGAGCCTGAGACCTGCCTCCCCGGTCCTCCCCGTAGAGAGCGGGGCTTCCGGCTCCAGTAGCCAGGGGTTCCGCCCCCCAGAGCGGAAAGCCTTCTCCTTTTGTGGCAGAATCTTTAAAAACGGACACGCGTATCATTGCGTTGCACGCATTCAGGTCACGTCCTGTCATTTTTCTCTGTTTCAATGCATCGTTATCTGAATAACCCCGAATACAGTTGGAGAGAAACATTGCCAAGTGCGGAAACAGCAGCACGGTTAGGATTCAAGTGCTGTGTAGCTATTTCACAGTTCATTTCCTTCTGGATTTTCCCCTGAAGAAAACCACCTTGTGTTGTAAGATTCCTCGCAGCAGAATCTCAGGTGCTCCTTGCGCTGTGCTGTGTTACCTACCATCCCTTCTACGATGCGGCTTTACTTTAGGGTGGGTGTTGAATTAATACCTGGAAGAGGCATAGAGAAACCATGTGTTCAGTTGTGTTTCTACCAAAGTACTGGGGCACGGGGGTTGTGATGGGTGTCCATCTGTCTTGTCCCCGTCTCCCGGTCCTGTTCTTTTTTTCTAATATGTATTTTTAGTGACTTCAGAGAGGAAAGGAGAGAGAGAAACATCAGTGATGAGAGAGGATCACGGATCGGCTGCCTCCTGCACGGATCGGCTGTCTCGAGCCCACAACCCGGGCATGTGACCTTGACCGGGAATCGAACCGTGCCCTCCTGGTTCCTAGGTCCATGCTCAACCACTGAGCCACACCAGCCGGCTTCCTGGTCCCGTTTAGCTTGATTGTAGTCAACTCTGTTTTAATGACTCTAGAAGGGAAGCCATTTAAAGAGGTAATTACCAGAGACGCTTCACGCTGTCACGTCTCTGCAGATAGCTCTGTTCTCACTGGGATCTCTTCACATTGGCGATTCTCTACGTGCGTACTGAGCGGAAGCTGTTATTTATTTTCCTGTAGACCTGTAGCCCCCCGAAAGATAAATTAACCCGATTCCTGTTAGTCAACAATGAAGGTGCTCCCCCTGCCGAGACCCGAGGTCTGTGCGCTGTATTATGAAGCCTCGCGCGTGGAAAAGGTGTTTACACACGTTGTCTATTTTTTTAATAAACTTTTTTTCATGGCTAGTCTCCCTGCTCAGTGGCTCTGGTCGGATGACTGTAGTTTGTAACCGTTTTATTTGTATCCAACTAGAAAAGGTACGTTAATAAAGATCTCTGATGCTGAATAAGCTGGTATTTCTCCATCTTCTGGTCTCGGGGCTTCAAGGGGAACTGGGGTGCAGGTGTAGCTGAAACTCAGGGCTGGATGGTGCCAGCTGTGGTCAGCCTGGCCCCCAGGCAATACCTTTCATTGGGGACCGGCTGACGAGGGACGGGTTCTGGGAGCCCATCCCTTTATATTGATTTCAGAGAGGGAGGGAGAGAGAGATCAAAGCATCAATGATGAGAGAGTCATCGATTGGCTGCCTCTTGCACGCCCTCTTGGGGATCAAGCCCACAACCCGGGCATGTGCCCTTGACTGGAATCGAACCCGGGACCCTTCAGTCCACAGGCTGACGCTCTATCCACTGAGCCAAACCGGCTAGGCTATTTTGGAACATTTTGATGGTTCCTGATTCTTCAGGATCTCACATATGTGTGTGTGTGTATATATGTTTTATATGTGTAATATGCATACATATTGTTTATGAAGTCTTGTCTATAGATCTTACCTCTGCCTCTCTGATTACCTTTTCTTGGGCGCCCCACGGAGGCAGGGTACACAAACTCTGCCACATGTTGTGCAATCGCCTTTCCAGGAAAAGCACACCAATCCTCCCCACCATGGGGCGGCTTGCTGGCCCTCCTCCCTTCACAAGAAACACCCCTTGGCAAACAGTCCCTCTGGGAGTCGGCGGGTTGGGACCTTGTCACTCTTCATGTGTTAAAGAGAGAGAGCTCCGCCATGGGACATTTCCACGCTCCCCTGGGCTTTCGGTGCCTCTTGTGGAGGGTGCGGAGCGGGGCAGAAGCTTCTAGTAGGAATCTGAGGTGCCTGGCGCTGGACCCACCATGATGGGGACCCCAGGGCTCACTGTTGGGCTACCGGGGCCTGGACAGTGGGGCATAGCCAACAGCACAGGCACACAGACACACACTCTATTCCAGTCCACAAAGATACACACACTTCCACGCACACTCAGACACGTGCGCAAACACATGCACACACAAAAACGCTCTTGCAGATGTTCACACATGCACGTGTACACTCACAGACACACACACATACCTTTACACATGCATGCACACCCCATGTGCACATGTACATGCACACACCCACACGTATGTGTATACACATGCCCATGCACTCACACGAGTGTGGCCACGTGCACGCACATGCCCACACGTGAGCACACTCACAGACACACACGCTCCTGCACACACACGGGTGTGCACACAGACACACAATCTCACAGATGCACACACGGACACACTGTCAGGCATGCACGTGCACACACACACACTCACTCATCCACACGCGCATGCTCTCACCGCCCACCAGGGGCCAAACCGGTTCTCCCTCTGAACCCAGCGGAGCCGGAGGAGCCGCCCCCGCCCAGCCTGGCGCTGGCGGGGCCCG